TGAACATACATACTAAATTTCATCAAAATCTTTCCAGTGGTTTTTCTGTGATGTGGTATCAGACAGACAAAAATTCTAAAAACTATAGATTCCGCCTCTGTATCGATAATAATGAAATTTGGTATAATGATAGATGGTTATCCGGGTCAACATATGCTTTATATTGCGGAAAAATATCTCATCTCTGAGAAATCTATACTAAACATTAAAACGTAACTAGAGAAAAACCCGAGCGGAGCCAGTGTGAGTCGCTATTTTTATATAATTGTATGTTTGTGTCACAACTAAAATATGTGTCTTCTTATTTTTAGTTAAGATAAATGTGGCTATTTTTTTAATTTCTTTATTATCTTGCACTTTTCTGCTCTTCAAAGTGAAAATCTTTCTAACCCCCATAATATTGATTGGAAGAAATCTCTGTTAGAGATAAGTCCACCTTTGCCCTCAAATTTCTTATAATGTATTTTATAATATATTTTAATTTTTATGTGCAATAAAGATTACATTTATAATAGGTAGTTATTATTTTATTTGTAATTTTATTATGCGTGCATGTAATATGACTAATAAACGAGATGTGATTTATGCAAAAATATTTATTTTTAAACATAAATTAACTATGTATATAATAATTTAAGTATTTAAGTAGTAGTGTGTGTTGTTGTTTGTAAGTTTGTTTGTTTGTTTGTTTGTTTGTTTGTTTGTTTGTTTGTTTGTTTGTTTGTTTGTCCTTCTTTCACGTCAAAACGGAGCGACGAATTGGCGTGATTTTTTGTGTGAAAATAGTTAGAGGGCTGGAGAGTGACATAGGATACTTTTTACTGCGGGTGATTATCTAATTCTCACGGGAATACACGTTATAATACAATCGAAAAAAATATTTATGATCAGAATTACTTGAAACTTTGTATTATTGTTCTTCAATAAAATTTAATAAATACCTGTTTTAGCATTTTTCGAAATTCATTTTATAAGGGGGTAAAAAAGGGGATGAAAGTTTGTATGAAATTACCTTTTTAGAGATATTTTTGTGGTTTTCATTCATTTTAGAAGCCGCGGGTTCTGGTAGTACGTAATATTTTAAGTTTCTAATTGAAAATCCTCAATAATACTGTATGTTAATACTGTATGTCAATTGACGTCACCAACGACAAGTTGAGTGAAGTAGCAGTCTCTCAGTTCAGTTGAGTGAATGTATGAATGATCATAAAATAATATTATCTATCTATACGTATAATAATATTCTTACTGGGTCGAATCTGTACATTATATATTTTTGGGAAAATCTTATTGCAATAGTTATTAAATTATTATCGATACAGAGGCCGAATTTATAGTTTTTAGAATTGTTGTCTGTCTGTCTGCCTTTTGGAAACGCATCACGAGAAAACCACTGGGCAGATTTTGATGAAATTTGGTTTGATGACAGCTGGTTATCCGGGTTAACATATAGGATATAGGACTTTTACGGCGGGAAAATATCTCATCTCTGAGAAATTGTACTAAACGTTAAATATATATTATTAATATAGCTACTTAATAGTTTTAAAAATGAGAATTTAAAAATGTAATAATAATATAATATTTTTATAGATTAGGTACTATATATTTAAAATACTAAGAACACGTTTTTAAATAAATATTATGTTTAGAGGTTCCACTATTCACCCAATAGTGCCAAGATCATTATCAAAACGATGATAATGATGATGAAATCGATGATTACAAATTAATACCTTACCTTCTAGACTTAAAGTTTAGCTGTAATATCAAAATAGGTTAAAAACGAATTCCTACATTTGATTACATTTTTAAACGAGTGAAAGGATATTAAAAAAGTAAAATGATAAGCAGAATGGTCTAAATGCAAAAATGTGCAAGAAAACTTTTCAAAAACTTCATATTACACTGTTGTTAATTGTTTATTTATCTTTTTATGTATGTAAAGTGTAAAAAAAATATACGCTCTGTGAACATTTAAAAATTTTCCATGACAAAAGATTATTTCGTAATATTTTTTCCTCTTTACGACCTTAACATGCTCTTTTATCCTAAACTAGATATAACCTATCCTTGAAACTAATTTGCTATCGTAAAATAAACAATGTGAACTTGTTGGGGCACGCACTTCCTTCCGACACTCGTAAAATGATTTTATAATTTTAAAATTCAACACGTTTCTCTTTTAGCACGTCTATTTCTATAATTTGTAAAAATAGATAGAAGATTTCTTATTTTTTTTAAATTGCTGAAATATTACTAGAGATGAAATAATACTTTACTAGAACAGATATCCCATCTTATCCGATACAAAGAAATTGAGCTACCCTAATCGAGCTATTTTGTTTGAACAGATTTTGATTTGATTTATCAAATAATATTTTTGTTAATAAATAAATTATTATATTATACATTTATTATATATACTAGCAGAACCCGCGGCTTCGCTCGCGCTAAAACTACAAAACAATTTCTATATAAAAACTTAAAAAAAAGAAAAAAACCGACTTCCAGGCACTAAAATGTCTAAGCCGATGCAAAGCAAACCTAATATATTTCGATACGTAAAATACATATTTACCTCTTAGATATTCATATCTTAAAATATAGTCGGCTGGCACCGACTTCGAAAATATCTAATTAGATATCTATTCTAAATGAAAACCTCCGTTTAGTTATTTTTTACATTTTAGTGCCTGGAAGTCGGTTTTTTTATGTTTTTGTTTTTCCATTTTTAGTGTATACGTAATAAGCAGGTAATTTGTGAGAAGAAAGTTTTTAATAACATATTCGATTAAACAATTTATTTAAAAAATATATTTATTGTTGATTTTTTTTTAAACTGCTCGACGGATTTCGATAAAATTTATATGGGACCACCTGGGAAGTATACCCTTTAAAACAAGAAAAAAAATCCAAATGGGTTCTGGCGTCTACGAGTAATACGTAGTAGTACATAAAAAAAAAGATTCCGACGAATTGAGAACCTTTCCTTTTTTTTACGTCGGTTAAAAAAGTAGTTTCATACAAATTTTAATCCCATATTTTACCCCCTTATAGGATGAATTTCGGAAAATGCTAATTTTCAAGTAATTCTGGTCATAAATATTTTTTGGGATTTTATTATAACGTGTTTTTCCGTGGGAATTAGAAAATCTTCCGCTGTAAAAAGTAGCCTTATTAATAAGAGCAAATGTATACCGAAGATTTAGTAATGTCACTAATCTAGATCTAAAGTTACAACTGGCCGGATCTTTCTATTTCTCAGTGAATATTTTAAAATGGGATATCCTATATCTTTAAACGAGCTATGCCTATATATATATATATATATATATATATATATATATATATATATATTATAGTAGTAAGTATACAGGGAATTATGGGGCTGATAAATCGATCTAGATTAGTCTTATGTCTGAGAAAACGCGTGTTTTCGAGTTTTCACGCAGTTTTATTTTGCATTATTCCACGCAAAATATGGTCGGTAATTTGCACGCTCTGGTGTAAGCATCGTGGTCAAGTGCCCAAAGTGCAAGATCAAAAATCACAGGAGTCCAGGTTCGAATCGCGGTCGCATACTAAATTCTTTTTAAATATTTATTCAAGTTTTTAGTTTAAAAAAAAAAGAAAATTGTACTTCAGGCCAAAAACTCCGAGCAAAGCTCGGTAGCCCAGGTACTCATTATATTATATAGGATGATATCTATTGTAGGTACATATTACTCGTATCATCCAAAATATGATTGTACTATTATTCCAGGAATACCTATACATAGCTGTACCGCGGCACGAATATACACTATATAGATATAGTATACACGATATACTTACTAAAGTAGTACCTAGCTTGATTATAAGCATTACGACTAGTTTCTTATCTGGAATCATAATAGATGTTTTTGTACATATTATGTCATCTACATAGGTATGTCGTATATGTAAACACAGACCTTTTGAATGATAATTTTATTTTTCTACATTAAAACTTTATTGTAATAACTAGCGACTCACCTTCGCTCCGCTCGGCTTCGTCCCTAGTTACGTTTTAACGTTTAGTATTGATTTCTCAGAGATGAGATATTTTCCTGCAGTAAAAAGTAGTCCTATATGTTGACCCGGATACCAGCTATCATCATACCAAATTTCATTAAAATCTGTCCAGTGCTTTTCTTGTGATGCGGTAACAGTCAGACAGACAAAAATTCTAAAATCTATAGATTGGGTCTCTATCGATAATAATGCCTATTTCAATAAGATTATCCAAAAAAATGTTATGGTACAGAATCGGCTTTTTACAATTATTATATGTATAGATTGTACAGTTCCGATGTTTATATATTAATTTATCGCTTTAGTTAAACTCATTTGTCCATAAGCTAGCATGTAAAGCTGTACTTACGTGGGTCCTGGGTTCAACCCCCGTGTTAGACCAAGAATTTTTACTGAGTATCAGTGCGAACAAATTCTGATTTCTGAGTACCCCATAACTGGGAAGTTGGCGGTGTTTGCGCTGCCTTGAAAAGCACGTAAAACCATTGTCGTCGTTATCGTCTTGTGCCTGACCTTCCGGACCCACCGGCCTTGTTCAATTGTCCATTCTCTAAGTACTAAGAGACTATGCGAGTAAAAGCAATAGAGAGTACCTACACGTTTGCAAATTTCAGCACTTTATGTTTATTTTCCCGGACTTTCATATGTATTTTTTTTTGAAATAAACAATTTTTTATGGTCTTAATCGTATTTTTTTTTGTAAACATAAATCAAATGTTAAAATTAAATAATGATTAAATGTAATTTTATATAATTTATTGATAAGTTGAAATGAAATGATGTGTAAATTTAATAAATGTTATGTATACCCATAATAATGTAGGAGATTACTATAGAACTTATAATGTGTAAAAATAAAATAAATAAATATGATATTTTTTCTAAAATTAATTATAAATTACTATATAATAAACTGTTTTATTTACTTTCTTTCGTTATTTCAGGTCCCGGTTCAACTAAAGAGGCATTTATAAAACAGGAAAGCGTGAAGTATCTCACTATGTTTGTGCTTGGTAATACTAGTGGCTTCTTCGGTGGTCTGCGACAATACGGCTTCCATCAGGTATGGCTATAAAAAAATTAAATTATTTACTTAATTATTATTTAAATTTTAAAAATCCACTCCGAATTTATTTTATTTTGAAGTGAAACTTCTTTAGAATCGTTGTGATTTGAAACTCGATGATACGAAAATGCGACATGAGAAAGAGACAAACACATAAATATATAGGATTAAGCCGGCGAGAGAATGAGATAGAATACATTACACGCTATTATGACTAATTGTTGCCATGGTAACCGTTGTTATTGTCTGATAAATGATATATAATATTATATACTTTCCGTTTAAGATAAATATATATGATATATTATAGAAATAAATATATGATTGAAATTTGTCTAACATACCTTATTTAATTATTGATTTGTTTTAATCACGCACCCATTTTTTTTTAATTTAGTCCATTCGTTAAAAAATATATATGAATCGGTTGATCATAGAAATTTTTCCTCTTTAAAATCGATTAAATTACTAATTAATTTACTTATCTATGCAAAAAAAACTGTTTACAGTTCTTACCTAATCATATTCAGATACCTATTAGATATTCATATCTTAAAATATTGCTGACTGGCACCGTCTTCAAAAATATTTGATTAGGTATCTATTCTAAATGAAAACCCCCGTTTAGTTATTTTTTACATTTTAGTGCCTGGAAGTCAGTTTTCATATTTTTTTTAAGTTTTTATTTTTCCTTTTTTAGAGTAGACGTAATAAGCAGGTAATTTGTAAGAAGAAAGTTTTTTAATAACATATTCGATTAAGCAATTTATTTAAAAATATATATTTATTGTTGATTTTCACCAAAAAAAAACCGCTCGACCGATTTCGATAAAATTTAAATGGGACCACTTGGAAAGTATACCCTTCGAAACTAAATAAAATCCAAACCGGTTCAGGCATCTTCTAGTAATCGGTGAACGTACATAAAAAAGGCTCCGGCGAATTGAGAACCTCCTTCTTTTTTGGAAGTCGGTTAGAAATATTTTTTTCGTATAAATATTAAATGCACTATATTAAATTCTTTATTCTAGATGAGAGAACTTGCAAAGGATCCACATATAGATTTCAAAAAGAAAACTATGCTATACGTCGGTGGATATATGGATATTCCTAGGTCTCCTCTTGCCATTTTCATGGCACACGCGTACAAAAACATAGGTTACAATGTATTATTGTTGAGCACTGAAAAGTTCACTACAATGGAATATCCACGGTAAGTGTTGTTTTTCCTTATTAATAACAATTTTTTTATGATATTCAGTGACAAACGAACAGACATTCCACCTGATGGAAAGCGGTACCTGTCGCCCATAACACCTGCGGTTCATGCACTTAGGTTTAATGTAACAAAAATGCAGAACCGCAGGTGCGTTGTCACTGTAAGGACTAAGATGGTATGCCTCTTGCCTGTAATTGCGCTGGCTACCTTATCCTTCAAATCGGAACACAACAATGTAATCATTGTTGCTTGGCGGAAGAAATAGATAAGGGGGTGGTACCCATCCAGTCGGACTCCTCAGGCTTGACAGAGTCCTACCACTGGTAAAATAATAATAAGAAATAGTATCTTTAGGTAATTTCTTACGTGAATATTTGAGGATGTTAGATAAAGCAAATTTTGTTCCAGATGTCACGTTTTTAAATAATTTCAAATGGTAAAATTATAGCATTTAAGATACATAGTGTCATTTATCTTTCATTCCAAGCTGTTAATATAAACCAAACCCTTGTGATGTAATCTATCATTTAAAAAAATATGAAAATCGTTTCACAACTTGTTGATATACTGAATTGAATAAAAACATATTCAAAAGGCTTTCTTTTAGAAGTCGCTCAAAAATCAAGTCAATCCGTTGTTGTATCGCTGTGAAAAAAATTATTTTCATTAGAAAAAGCACTTTATCTATTATATATTAGTAACTTCTTACTATATAATATCATAAAAAGTAATATAATAGTTTCTATATATTTTAATATTTTACAATTTTCCTACATCTGTTTAATTGAATGGAAATTCTTATTTTTTCAGAGCATCTCGTTTCATGCGACCTGTTGGAAAATTGGTAGCGCAAATGCTTATAGATTTAACGAAGGAAGGTTTGAATCCGAAACGATTAGAAATTGTTGGTATAAGTCTAGGCGGACAAACAGCAAGCTTTATAGCTAAAAATTTCCAAAAACTTACAGGTAGAAATGTATCTAGACTTACAGGCTTAGATCCCGCTGGACCATGTTTTAGAAATTTGGGACCTAATGATAGGATAGATAAAAGCGATGCAGACTTCGTGGAAATTATAAGCACAAATATTGATGGTTATGGCATGGCTGCAGCTGTAGGGCATGTTACGTATTATGTGAATGGGGGCGAGAACCAGCCTGGTCAAATATTTTGGCCATTGTGTCAAATTCTATGCAGTCATGTAAGATCTCATACTCTTTGGCTGACGGCTTTGAAATATCAGAATTCATTCGTAGCAATACAGTGTGATTCTGTACAGGAAGCGAGGAATAGGGATTGTTATGGGAAAAAACCGTTAGTAACTAACTTGATGGGGTTAAAAGCAGATAAGAGTAAAGAAGGCATATTTTATTTGTCTACGAGTAATAATTATCCTTATTTTTTAGGGGAAAAAGGTACAAAGAGGGAAAATGATTTTTATTTATCGTTCGTTGCGAAAATGAATGATATGGATGTTATCGAAGTTAGATAAATATATGCTGATGTTTATTTGTTAATAGTGTAATTAAATTTTGGTTTATTTATTTTTTTATAATTATGAAATTGTTAATTTTATTGTATAGCTAAGTAATAGCCTAATAGGTTAAGTTACAATAATATTGCGCAAGCCAAAATAATCTGTCTGTGTCTGGTTGTCTATATATGGTTTTAACGTTTTGTTTTTGGTTTAAATTTTAGTGGAACTTGGTATGGTATAAAAGATCTATCTATTATTTTGAAAGAAATATAATAGCATAGAAATGGATTTATGAAAACCTTGTATATATCTAACCTATATGTTCTAGCATAAGAAATAAGGCGATTTTGTATATAATATTTTTAACCTTGAAAATAAAATTCAAAATATGGCATCTGTGTAAACCTAAGCTCGGCACCCAACATCTCTACATACAATAAAATTGTAACTAAGTCGAATCTGTACATTAAATATTTTTTTGGAAAATCTAATTGAAATAGACATTATTATCGATACAGAGTCCGAATCTATAGTTTTTAGAATTTTTGTCTGTCTGTCTGTTACCGCATCACGAGAAAACCACTGGACAGATTTGATGTTTGGCATGATTGCTGGTTATCCGGGTCACCGCGGGAAAATATCTCATTTCTGAGAAAAAATACAAAAAGTGCATTGTAAGAGTATACTAATATGTAAAACCTAAGAATTTGGTTTTTGGTCATCTGAACGCGGGCGGAGCCGCGGGCAATGCTAGTAATATAATATGTACTTACATTTAAAAAAGTGTATAATCGATTTGTATCTTATACTTCACTCAGTGAAGTATACAGTATCATGAGATATTTAAAAAAATATATTATGAGTATTACCACAAGCTGTAAATTTTATTAAGAAATATTATCTAAATTATTTTTATAAGTTTGAATTTTTGAAATAAAATATTTTTATCGCGCCATCTATTGTGTAGTTATTGAACTAAATAAAAGGTGGGGGTCTAATGGCTTTGGTGTATTACAGTACTATGCTTGCATATGTAGTTCTCTTAAGCACCACTAGATGGCATTGAAATTCAAATATAACAAACTTCACATTTTTTAAAATAAAATATATTCATCTGTCTTTGTACATTGAACTTTGAGAGGAAACATTTTTACAGTGATTTCGTTTTTATTTTGTAACATGAATAACTATTAATTCTAAGAAAGTTGAAATTCAATGAATACACACGAAGCAAGTATTAATATTATAGATAAAAAAACGCTGGATGGATCATGGATAGAAAACAATGCTTTTTTTATTAAAAGTCATACTTTAATTTTTTATTAAATTTGTTTATCGTGACTTATTGCTGTAGACATGTATATTTTTACTGTGCAAATATTATTTATTATAGTTTAGTTACATTAGTTCCTAGGCGTTTATTTGTGTTTAAAAGATTGTTATATGAAAAAAAAAAAAATGGTATCGTTAATTATCTGGCTACCTATCTGTCTCTTATAACAAATTAAAAAAATTCCGCATAAGAAATTTATTATTTTGTTTTTGCTCTATCATAAAAATGTTTATAACGGCTTTGCCAAATACACAAGACACGGCTTATGTAGTGTGTAATAAGTATAGGTATTGTCGATGCCCTTCGATTTAACGGGTATCACCTGGCGTAGCGTGGCCTTAAAAAATCGACCACTGGCCGTAATTTATTCTATTAGAAAACGATTTAATACAAGGTCACTTTATGTCTCATTACAAGCATTGTAAAATCTTCGAACATCTGCTTACCTGACGCTTTGTTTACAATTCTAAATTTTATAATGCAAATTCCTATATCTATAGGGGTGACCACAATAGGCTATCGGACAAATGCGTCCGCTTATTCTGAGTTCTAACCCCATCTAGTTGAAATAAGGGTTAAGTAAGTAAATATAAGGGTAGAAGGGGTCAGTACAGTTGTTTTGCTTTAGTTTTTGCACTCTAACGGACACCTGGTACGTTCGAATATGATTAAGAAATTTGACCGTTTTTTAATGTTGATTGAGATGAGATCATTGACAATGTAGAGCTTTAAAAGTATAGTGGCAGTATAGAGCTTTCAAAGAATAAATAATATTTAATATATTATGTTTGCATCTCAAGTTTTGTAAAATCGTTATGGTATGATTACTTAAATTGAAATTCAATTCAGTATTAAATTCATGAGTCTATCCACCAGTTAGAAAAAAAAGCCTCAGTTCTCAGAAAAAATGGTGAAAGAAACTCAGCGGGACTAAAAGAAGAGAAGAATATAAAGTTAGTAATAGTAGTAAGAAGTGTAAGAGATTCGCTTTATCTGCCAAAAGGTTTAACAGATAAGGTGCAATAAGGAGATTGCTATTTATTCATGCTAAAATATTTTTAGTTTCACTACATACATTAAAACTAAAGATAGATTCTGGTATCTACAAAGTAGCCGCTAATCTATACATATAATAAAATTGTAACTAAGCCGAATCTGTACATTAAATATTTTTTGGAAATTCTTATTGAAATAAACATTATTATCGATACAGAGGCCGAATCTATAGTTTTAGAATTTTTGTCTGTCTGCCTGGGAATACATTACAAGAAAATCAGTGGACAAATTTTAATGAAATTGGGTATGATGATAGCTGGTAATCCGGGTCAACATATAGGATACTTTTTACTGCGGAAAAATATCTCATTTCTAAGAAATCTATACTAAACGTATATATATAATAAATTCATATCATTCTACTGCATTATATAAACAAATATCTCCGTAAAATAGAATAATTAAAACAACTAATAAAATACAAGTTAAGTATCTAATTAAAATGATATAATGAATTAAGTTGGTCATATCATCGATTTAATAGCTTGTCCAAATAATTCGATCGTTTCAAATTACCGAATTAATGTCCTGATAGATATATTTGGCCTTTAAAAGCCCGGTGGGAGTACAGCTGTGGCATGTGGTCTTACTCGTGTTTCACTTTCACGTAAATATTTTGTAACCCTGACATCGTAGGTGTGAAAACGTCAATAAATTTAAAATCTATACATATAATAAAATTGTAACTAAGTCGAATCTGTACATTAAATATTTTTTGGAAAATCTTATTGAAATAGACATTATTATCGATGCAGAGTCTGAATCTATCGTTTTTAGAATTTTTGTCTGTCTGTCTATCTGTCTGTCTGTTACCGTATCACGAGAAAACCACTGGACAGATTTTGATGAAATTTGGTATGATGATAGCTGGTTATCCGGGTCAACATATAGGATACTTTTTACCGCGTGAAAATATCTCATTTCTGAGAAAAAATACAAAAACTGCATTGCAAGAGCATACTAATATGTAAAGCCTAAGAATTTGGTTTTTAGTCATCTAAACGCGGGCGGAGCCGCGGGCAAGGCTAGTAATATTATAATAGCTAAAACAACTCGCTGGGCGGTAATCAGAACTTAATGGGTTAAAAAGAATCTTTTTAATGATGTATATTTATTTATAGTTAATTAAGAGTTAGAGCTCATATCTGAGTGTTAATTTGGAATTATTTTACATGGAATATTTTATAGCTCGATTTGTTAAAGTTTATCGTTTAGTATAGATTTCTCAGATATTATTCTATATCTGAGAAATATTCTTTATTTCATTCTTATTTTCTCTAAGAAAATCTCTATATTTTATATTCCTGGTGTAAAAAGTATTTTATATGTTGACCCGTATAACCAGCTATCATCATACCAAATTTCATCAAAATCTCTCCAGTGACTTTCTCTGATGCGGTAATAGACAGACATACAGACAAATATTCTAAAAGCTTTAGATTCAGCCTCTGTATCGATAATATTACAGTAAGATTTTCCAAATAATATTTAATGTACAGATTCGACTCAGAGTTTTATTATATGTATAGATTTATTTATTTGGCAATCTTACAGCGTTACGAAGATAATAGAAACATTTTTTGAGCACAGTAAGTAAGACCAACATTAGATTACTCTTTTGTGATAAATTATATAATGAACAATAGAGTACATTTAAAAAAAAGAAAAATATTTAAATAATAAAATTGATATTGCTAATAATATTCACATCAAACATAATATCTCTCTCTCTCTCTCTCTGTGCGTGCCTGCTTGCGTGCGTGCATGTAACCATATAATTATTGTATTACTATAGTCAGGACCCAATTCAGGTGACAGACAGCGGTATCACAAGCAAATAAAATAGAAAAAATGAAAATGGGATTGATAATATCATAATATCTGTTCTAACAAAAAATTCTTAACTTTAATAAGTCCTCAGTCCTCATATTTTAGAGCTTTGAAAAACTTAAAAAATATTAGAAGCTTAACATTGTACTTAAATGGAAATAATAATTTTCTTCTGGTCATATATTAGTGGTGCCATTATAAGACTACCAGTTATAAATTAAAAATCTGCATAGAAATTAAGTAGTCGCTGTAACAGTATTACTAAATTGTGGTGTCAACTTAGAACGTGTATGTATATTTCTGTTCATTTAATTTTAAAGTATACAATATACATACTTTACTAGCATGTGTACGTGCGTGTGTGACAATCTTTTTAACTCGATATTTAGTTTGTTTGTTCATCTACATCATGACGACATGAGCCAATCAGGCTCAGTTTGTAGTGACCCTACTTGCTGTACCAGCGGTCGCGGGTTCGAGTCCCGCTGGGGGCATTCATTTGTGTGATGAGCACGAATGTTTGTACTCCAGTCATGGTTGTTTATATTTATAATATGTATGTATTTAAAAGTTATATATGTGTAGTGTATCAACTATCTGGTATCCATAATACGAGCCTCGTAGCTTACCATGGAACTAAATGGCGCTTTGTGTTAATGCTCTTAAATCTATTACATATAAAGCAATTTTGTTGTTCTGTAGTGTGTGTTCGTATGTGTTTCAGTGTAAATAACTACCAAACATACATATTTATTAATAAAAAATGCAATGTAATTAGTTTTATGTTTAAAAT